AATCGATGCTGAGATCGAATGGAGACTTGAGCTACTTGTCTGAAGTGAGTAGTTGAATTAAATGGTATTCTAAACGTATTTATTTGTTGTTACCTGGCAACCCTATCTGTCACGCATATTTCTAGCCACTTGCATAGTTGATTGGATTAGGATAATTTATTTTCTTAATCATTACCCTTCTTATTATGCACATGCTTGCAAACGGTGTTCCGTAGCTTATCTTTGTCATGATATTGATGGAAATGGTATTAAAAGATTACTTATTATTCAACCCCTTCACAAATACATTTTGGTTGCAAAATAGTACTTGTTACAACTATTAAAGATGCTACTGTGTTTACCTTAATGTGCTGTGATGGTCGTCCGTACAAAGCTATGTATTTAACGTCATCATGCTTATCAATAACTCCTATGACACAATCTACCTGTATTTTATCATCAGCTTTGCTGGGGTGTGAGCCTTGACATCAGAACCTCTTTTTTCCATCGGATAAAAAGTAAATAAGTGATAATCTATTCTTAGTTGTAAACTTGAACTCAAGTTCGCGGGTCGCCGCAAGTAGTTTGCATTTTAATCAGTCATTTGTTCCTGTTATCGAGCTATTGTTTGTTTGAGTTCTTAAGATTATGTTCATATTGCAATAATAAGTAACTTTTTGTGGCTTATTGAATTCCAGGATAATAACCTAGTTTAAATATAAAACCAATTTAATTATGTTTAATTATACCTAGTTACTAATTGCCTAACTAACCAATAATGTTTTGTAATTTGTTGTAAACCTTATTAAATTTTTATCTTTGGTTTATTCGGACTGAAGCGACTCTTAATCTGTTATTCCAATCATTTATTTTCTGACCTCTAACCCATTTGAGAAGACTTTATTGCAAAATTTGCAAACTTGCTATAAAAAATTTAAAGCCAGTAATCACAAATACGTGCTAAGTAATTATTGTACAAATGCTTACATAATTACAATGTTTGATAAGGTACAGATTTATTTTTGATAGGATAGAGTATAAAACTAATCAGTATAATGCTTAGTAATATTACGATAGCGTTCTTAGATCAGTGCTGGTGGTACGCATACTATCATACAATGATAAGATAAAGTGCTTTTATCAGTTATCAAAATGAAATGAGATAACTTCTAACATTTTTAAGGCTATTAGAAATCTGAAAATTTAATTAGCTCTACAGTAAAAATGAAAAGAGAAGCAGAAATATCGCATTATTTATTTTGACTGGTGGGTGGTGTACCTATTTCTCGATCCTTTCTTTTCATGTGTTTTGTAATCTTGTCTAGGTAGGTCTTTCACAACGAACCGAGCTTGATTGATTGACAAAAATTAATCAAGTTCGGTGTAAGAGAACGATCTCCGTTTGAAAGAAGAAAGAGGTGAAGTTTTTATAAACATATAATAACAATAGAAAATTAGTCAATTCACTAACACTTCATCACATACGGAACACACCAAACTTGCTGTCTCTGAATGGAGCATTCAAAGCAGCCGATAAACTTAATCCAAGAACTTTTCTGGTATCCCTAGGAGCGATTATACCATCATCCCATAATCTGGCCGTACTGTAGTATGGGGAACCCTCTTTCTCGAACTGGGCTTCAAGAGGAGCTCTGACTTTTTTCTCATCCTCATCAGTCCACGTCTTCCCATCCCTCAAGGCTTTTTTTTTAGCCACCAAAGTGAGAACAGTAGCGGCCTGTGGTCCTCCCATCACAGATATCCTCGCGTTTGGCCACATGTACATAAAACTAGGTGAATAAGCACGACCACACATCCCGTAGTTCCCAGCACCAAAGCTGCCTCCAACAATGACTGTAATCTTAGGTCCCTTGAAACAACTCACAGCAGTCACCATCTTAGCACCGTTCTTGGCTATACCACCGGCCTCCGCCTCCCTTCCCACCATGAACCCAGTTATGTTCTGAAGGAATATCAACGGAATTTTCCTAGCAGCACACAATTGAATGAAATGAGTTCCCTTTAAAGCGGCTTCCGACTGCAACACGCCATTGTTTCCAATAATACCCACTGGCTGACCATAAAGCGATGCAAATCCACACACTAGGGTATCGCCGTACAGTTGCTTGAACTCATGAAACCTGCTGCCGTCGACCACTCTCGCTATAACCTCGCGCATGTCAAAAGGCCTTTGTATATTTGCTCCTACGATGCCATGTAAATCATCTATATCATGTAAGGGTTCATCAACTTTTGGGGAGTAAATTCTGGTTCTTTGTTCGTTATTCCAGTTCAAATTGGCAACGATGTTTCGTGCTAAATGCAACGCATGCTCATCATCTTGTGCATAATGATCTGTGACTCCAGACTGACGGCAATGTAGATCCGCCCCACCTAAATCTTCTGAGGACACTGACTCGCCTGTTGCGGCTTTGACTAGAGGCGGTCCTGCTAAGAAAATGGTGCCTTGATTTTTAATTATAATACTCTCGTCTGACATGCTAGGAATGTACGCTCCGCCCGCGGTACAAGAGCCCATGACGACTGAGATCTGCGGGATACCTTCCGCCGATAAATTAGCTTGGTTATAAAAGATCCGGCCGAAGTGTTCCCTATCGGGGAACACATCAGCTTGGTCCGGCAAGTGAGCGCCGCCGGAGTCCACAAGATAAATGCAAGGAAGCCGGCACTCTTGCGCAATCGCCTGTGCCCGCAAGTGTTTCTTCACCGTGACGGGAAAATAAGTTCCTCCTTTAACAGTTGCGTCATTTGCGACTATCATACAATCGCGACCTTGAACTTTGCCGATGGCGGTGACGATTCCGGCGCTCGGCACCTGTCCTTTGTAGAGATCCGTAGCGGCGAGCGTGCTCAGCTCTAAAACGTCTGTGCCCTCGTCGACCAACCGGTTAATCCTGTCTCTGACGATGAGTTTGCCCCTTGCGGTGTGCCTCTTGACCGCGTCTTCTGGCCCGCCTTTGATAGCGGCGGCGGTTTTCTGTTGGAGTTCATTGACGAGCTCATCCATTCGCGCCTTGTTGTCTTGGTAGTAGGGGTCGGCTCGGTTGGGCTCGCTGCCGACGACGGCGGCGTGGCTGTAGGGCCGGCATTGAGCCGCGAGCCGTGGAATGCCTCTAACTAGTTTGAGCATTATTGCGGTATAAATTACGAAGCGAAACACGACCGGTCGGCGACTCGCTGCCGCGCCACTGACGATAGCGTACCGTTATCTATACGATTATGTCGTACAAAAACAAATTCTTTGAGCGGGCTCGACCCTCGCATTGATAAAAACGGTCATTATGTATGAAATGATAATGTGGTATTGTGTCGATGATTTTATGCAATGTTTACAGTGTATCGTTGACTCAAGATTGTATGATGCTTTGCGTCATATTATGCACCAGATAAATGGCAGTGACTGCTATTGAACGTCTCAGTTTGGTTGGTGAGGTCACACATTGAATAGATATTCAATCATTGTAGCACGACATGACCCACATAAGTCGAAAAAAGATTCGTATTCGAGAATGCTTAAGTAGCGTGAAAATAATGTTACCTTGAATATTAAACGTAAAACTATCTGCAAGGAATACGTCTCTAAAGTAATTAAAAACCCATCTAATGTATCTCATTTTCTAGATGATAATTACAGCTAAACAAACAGAAGACAAATCTAATCGCTAGATCGCGGGGCCGCGCGGGCGCAGGGTGAACGACACAACTCAATCGTTTCACTTTCTTCGACCCGACCGCAAGGTGGCGGCACTTTCCTTCCTATGACGTGTGACAGATTAGTCAATTGTCCGGAACTGTAACACGAGATTAACAATGTAGGTAAAGTTTTTATCGGATGAATAGTTGAAGTCCCAACATACAACCTTGCGTAACACCATGTACACAAATTAAAGCGATTGATAAATTGCGTTTACAAAATATCTGCGAATAAAACTGTAGGCTACCTGAATAATATGACCTTAAATAAATTTTATTATTTATATTTAACGAACCTATTGAATAATATTTAATGTTATTAAGATAAACTGTACGTGATGATAACGCCTAACTAACGAGAAGTTCATTTAAATAGGTTAAATTAAGTAGAACTACTTACTGATACAAGTACAATAAATAAATAAGTTTTTCCGTAACATAGAGTCTTGGGTGCGGCCGGCAAATATTTTCAAAAGGTTTTCGCGTTAAAAATAAGCGTTTCTAATTCTCCCATTCGAAATAAGCGTTTATAATTTAGATCTTGTACTTCGTTTTAATTGTCTTAAAGTACATCATATTCGACTTTAAACGTTAGGATCTTTGTAACAAACGGGACAACAGTTATGATTGTTATCTAAATATATTCAAATGTTGCTAGAAGTTGGAACAATCTCATTAACCCACTAAGAATGTGCAAGCTCGACCGTATAGAAGATTAACGAGCAGATTATTGCACTCATAAAAGATCAAATTATTACGTTTTAGACTAGTATTATATTATCTGTGGTTTTAGTATTAAATTATTTAATAGGCATAGTTTTGTAACCCGCGCATACATATAGGGTTGCGCAGGCCTATTGAAAGACATTTTTATTGGACCAAACCAAAAAACACTTGGAGGAGTTGTCTCACCAAAAGCATTTGGTTCAAATCACAGACATTAATGGTTTCATTAGTAACCTCTTCCAAACGCTTTAACAGTTAACGCTTCAAAACCATCACACTCAGCTTTACCTACTATTTTTAAGGAGTTATTTCGTGTTCTATCGTGTGAATTTACTTATATCTTAGATCATTTTTGTGTCAAACATTATGAGCCGCTATTGGCATTTGACATGGGTTAGTACTGTACTAATCGGTTTAAATCGTGCCTGTGCACTGAATCTTAATAATTATTCATTGAAAATTAGGTTGGTAAAGAATTTAATTATATTGAATATTGAAACTGTATGATTGACAAGCCTAGCCGCATAATTTTCGTTACGAGGTTTCACACTCCAAATGCGAATATTTCACTATCTTTCGACATGCAAAGCTCGCGCCTGCGCGACAGAAATGTGAGACATTTTTTTACATTTGGTTATGCAAATAATTTGTGTAAATCTGTTCTGCACACTAGCCCATTACTTTCTGTAAATAATAAATTTTTGTCCACATTAATTTACCATACTATTGTTTACTGTTTCTATTGTTATACAAATATAGCAATAATGTTGTAAAAGTTGAGTGTACATATAGAAAGAAATTACTGAAATCTCTACCGCAATCTAAATAAAATGCAGGTGTCAATTCATCCTTGACATCAAAATCTAAATGGCTAAATAATTCATTAAACAGTAACATATTATTAGCACGAATTACTAGATAGGCTAATTTAATTAAGCGACTGGAAGATAGTTAAGCTTTTTCGCTAAATAAAAAGATAGCAAACATTTACAATTGTTTTGTTACCTAAGTATCTAGTAACAAGTATGAAATGACTAATTTTACTTTCACACTAAACAATAATAATAATCTAACAGTAGATTACCATGGTCGGGACAATATTCATAATTTTATTGTCTTTTTTTTTTCAGGATCGCGATGAACAAACAAAACTGGAAATGAAACATCGACAGGAAGAAGACGACTTGTACAGGAAATTCTCAAAACACCGCGAAGAAGAAAACAGAAGAATACGAGAAGAAATACAAGTAAGTAACACAAACCTGCCTTTTTTTTTCGTCAAGAAATGCATGAAATTGCATACCCGCTGGCCCGGGGGAACCAGTGGCTCTCCCTGCCAGATGGGCAGGGCCTACTCACTAAAACCTGACGGTGTCCTCCCGAAGTCTTTGGGACGGTGCTGCGAGTTATTGTCCGAGCTAGACGGCCTAGACATTCTTTCGCGGCTCCGCCCCAGACTGTGGCTCGCTCTGTTTGAGCAAGCGACGACTGGCTTCAGGGGAGTAGTACCTCCCCTGGTCTTCGCTAACGGTGCGCGTGAACACATGCGCGCCACAAACCTGCCTAGGCGCAGACCACCGACTAGTTGCCAAATTAGAATCAACTTAAAGTCGATAGTCTGCACCTAGGCTTACGAAACATTCACGCTATTAATAAACGCTTCAAATTACACAAGAAATGTTTAGTAAGGTCAATAAGATGAACGTTCTAAAGTCGCAATAACTAACATTCAAATAAATTTTAATGCAGTCATAACACAAGGCTTTGAAGACTTGAAGTAGCCCAATTCCAAGATAATTACGATTCTATTTGTTTTCAAAATTAAAGGAATGTTTTCTTTGAGTAAAATTTTATATCTACAGTATTAAGAGTACTCTTCCTCCAGGTGGCATCACAAAATTCCACCCTGTATGTAGCGTTAGTAAGAGAATTACTGAATTTTTATAAACACTGTGGAGATGGGACTTAAATTTTTAAAGTCGATGGGGGGGGGGGGTGGTACAGCTGATTATGATGCAGAAGGTCGATATTCATTCACCTTTCTAGATTTCTTAAATAGACTACTCATTCTCCATAGCTGCTAACTGTAGATATTTCAAGCAATTCCGTATAACACAATTGCAGAAGACTGCGCAAATTCAATAGTATATTAAAGTCTTCATATTTGTATTTTCCAGAATGAATGGGAAAGGGAGCTAGAAAGACTAACGAGCCGGTTCCAGCAAGAAATGCAAGTGAAGAAAAGACGGCCAGATGCCGAGATAGGCGCCCTGACGCTCAGGCACCAGCAAGAGAGGGCTGACCTGGAGAAGAACATGACGCTCAGGAGAGATAAGAAGAAGGAGAGCCTCACGAGGAAGATGTTGGAGCATGAAAGGTAAGTTGCGACGTTGGGGAACACAAAACATGGGATTTTGAAAGCCTCTTAGGCACACCCTTAAGCTCTCGTTTTGACGATAGGCATATGACAAGTGGAGGTTGCGTACCATAAAATTCAGCGTAGGACGTCCACCCACAAGGTGGACTGACGACATCATAAAGGTAGCAGAAAGGCGCTGGACGCAGGCCGCTACCAATTGATCAACATGGAAATCATTAGGGGAAGCCTATGTTCAGCAGTGCACGTCCTATGGCTGTAATGATGATGATGATGATATTATGACGTTACTAGTTGACGTAATTTTCGTAGTATGCCTAAATGCTGGTGACTATCAATTAGAACTTTGTGTGACGTCATTTACAGATTTGTGCTAAAAGCAATCTTCATATTCATAAAGCTACTTTTTATCTAGCTAAGTAATGTTCCTAACCCATTTCAAAGTTATGGTTGATTTATTAAAATGGAAAATGACACCGTTTGGTATTGTCGTATTACCTAACCTGCCTGCTAACTTTCTATCCTTTGTATTGTCGAATGAAAAGTGACAAATCAATCGGGCCCCGACAATATTTCACACACGCGTATGAATTCCGACCGAACATTGAATGAGTAGAGAGTCAAACTCTTGTAGGAATACGATTGATAGCATGGTAACTCATCATAGGATGTAACAGTGGTGTTCGAAGTATACGGGCAAGGGAGGCAGCGCCTACCTGGCAAAAGGTCTTAAATTGTTAAAAAAGCACTTACTGCCTTTTACATTCAGAATAATTTTTAGACAGCTCATAAAAAGTATAAGAATGGATTGTAATTCCAAAGACCATGAGGCTTCTCCCGAATGGATCGCATTTTCGGATCAACTTGAATCTCCCTAATCTAGAATAGTGTAATATCGCCGGTATAAATGCTTAAATCTGAAAAACGGTAAGAAAGAGAAGTAAAATTAGGGAATAGGTAGCCGCCAGATGAAATTAACTAAACGACAAACGACTACTTCTCACTGTAATAAATCCATCTTACATAGATGACTTGTAACAAAACGCTATTTGCAACAAAATTGTCTCAAAATACTCTCAAAATGTCAAATATCTCCAGGGCAGCCACGGCAGCGCTAGTTGAGAAACAGAGCCACGAGATGATGGAGCTGATCCAGGAAAGGCGCTCGGAGTACATGGCCGCTTCTTCACTATACCTAGACGGGGAGGAGGCGCCTCCGTACCCGTCCAGGGCGCCCGCGCCGCAGCCTCCCCTGGTGTCCAAGTTTCACATATACACCGACCCGGCGGAGTTCGCGGATGTTGACAAAATCGCTATCTCGGTGAGTCAGCCATTTTCTAATTTAGCCTGAATAGATCGTGCCATCCACGAAGACGTGCCCACAAATTTTTGGTCGAGGGAAACGCGGGGTGCGGGGAGTTTAATCCGAGCAATCCGAGCGTCATTATTTAGGGTGCGTGTGCACTCATAGATATCGATAACACTCAAACATTCACGGAAGAATGGTGAGGCGCGTCTTCGTGGACGGCCGCCTGGACTGGAATTCTTGCACTGAACGTCTCTTGCTAACTACGACGCAGTCCTCGTGGCCCCGTGAGTGGCCTCTTGGGGAGAAAAGAAGGAATTTTAGAGTTGTAAGACCAGAACTTACTTTTAAATAACTTACTAGGTATTAGTTTGTTGCTGTAGTTTGAGTCCAAAATGTTACGATATGTCATACGTCCAAATTAACTATTCTCGTAAAAAATGAAATGTTGACTGCACCGCAGAATAAAAAACCAGTTGCATTTCATTGAACTTTGGTTACAAAAATGGCTTCCAATGCGAACACTAACGTTTTTAGTATGTAGGTAATTTAAGAATTTTAAGATCAATGGCTGCTTGAAATGAGCATCATGTCTCATATAATCACAACAGCGAGTTGGAAGACGCTCTAACCAACTATCGGCCGTGTCTGTTATAATTAGTGGATGTAATAATTAATGCTCTACATCCATTGCTTACAGTTTCCCACAGTAAATAGAATTACAGAGCTGCATCTAACGGATTCACAATGCTTGTATCATCATCTAGTGTGATCATTGGCGTGGTTAGAGAGTTAGATCCTGTGTTTGATTCTTAAACGGTTTTTATGGCATTGCATATTGCATAATTATGGCTTATGTCAATCTCTACAACAATTTTCGTTTTATCATTGAATCGGTCACATCACAACATCCAAGCAATGACTGATAGCACTATTGCCACACCACAACCATAACAAAGACTTACAATGACTCATCAATTCCAGGTGGCGCAAGAAGACCAAAAAACCTTCACAGATCTAGTCCGGCAGCTAGTGGGGAGATGCGCAACCGACGTGGAGAAGGCGCGGACGATCTTCCGCTGGATCACGGTGAAGAACCTCAACAACATCCAGTTCGACGACAACTTGCGGGGCGACTCGCCTCTAGGCCTGCTGCGCGGCATCAAGCACGGGACGGAGAGTTACCATGTACTGTTTAAGAGGTTGTGCAGGTGAGAAGCAGTCTTCGTCATAATTTTATGAAATTCCTAGAATCCTCCCTGTTTAGTTTCATCAAGCACGAAATGGAGAGTCATCATGTACTGTTTAAGAGGTTGTATGGGTAAGAACAGCAGTCTTCATCAAAACTCTTCGTGTAATACTTTTAAAAGAGCTTGATCATCTATCTCAGTGCTTCATGCAGCAGTAGATAAGTCCATCCACAGCACTGAACAGGATTGACTCGGGTTCTGGCTCTATAGGAGGGGCAATTTGGCTCAGACGGAAGGGACCATTTCGACCAGGGGGTGCAATCAAGGTTTTAGGCTTATGGTCCTCCACGCTTAGCTACTTAAGGACGAAACAGGTAAGGCTTAGTCTGATAACTAGTGGGGCAATACGCGAGAGTTACCATGTACTTTTTAAGAGGTTGTGCAGGTAAGGAGAAGAAAAAGCCGTCTTCGTCAACATTTTTCGTAAAAATAATTTCCAAAGAGGTTGGTAAGATAGGATGCTATCTTAGTGCCATGCAGCAGTAGATGTGTCTAGTAGTCACAGCAAAGTGAGGATACGTACCTATACAGTTTTGGACCCAGGGGAGGGGAAGTCAATTTGTAAATCAGATTTTTTGGCATCATAAGGTAGTCATTAGGGGCATACATTTCCATGGGGTCAGCTGCCTTCCCGAACTCCCCTGGATACGCTCATGTCTACAAGATATGTCTCACTATAATGTTCAGAATCCTGAATGAGAAAAGTTACTCAGAAGTCAAAGTACCTCATCTACCGACCATCACACTTTATGTCAAAACTAGCAAGAACTCAAGGTGCCTTCATAAGTCTCCCTGGGTGCGCTCATGCTTACTACAGGACCCACTATAATGTTCTCAATCCTGAAGGAAGAAAGTTACTCAGAAGTCAAAAAAGACTAGAATATACTAGTCAAACAATTTGAAGAACTGACTATAACTTTTCCTTTTCCATACAGCTACGCAGGCCTGCACTGCGTGGTGATCAAGGGCTACAGCAAATCCGCGGGCTACCAGCCTGGCGTCCGCTTCGAAGACAACAGATTCCGAAACTCCTGGAACGCGGTATACGTGGCAGGGGCCTGGCGGTTTGTCCAGTGCAACTGGGGGGCGAGGCATCTGGTCAACGCGAAAGACGCCCCCAAGCCAGGGAACAGAGGGAAGAGTGATAGCTTGAGGTGCGTAGAATAGTTGTACTGTAGGGCAAATTAAGCCACGATAGCCGAACGGTGAAGGGGTCGAACTAGCCGATTCGAGATCCGAGGAACGCGGGTTCCAATCCCACCGCCGCTCGACTATTGTGGTGAGCCCACTCGTAACACAAGCATATCTAGGCTGGGTTGCACCATCTTACTTTAACTTTGACAAACGTCAAAAATCTGTCAAACTCCATACAAAAACACCGGTTAACGTAGTAGTTTACGATCAAAGTTAATTGGTGCAACTCAGCCTTAGAGGGGCTAACGGGACTAACGGGACTAACAAAGTTTTCACTCAAACTCTCACATATTTGAGAAGTACTCTTTCTTACTCTACCTACTTACTACCCAACTACTGTCTCAATTGAAGTTACTCCTCTCCTCCAGTGAAGATTATTGTCTTCCACCACTTAAAAATATGAAATTAATGTCTTCACGACATACTTAAATGAAAGGGAATTAGCGGAATGCAATACGAAGCGGTAGAAGCCTATATTGCTGTATAAAAAGAAAGAAGAGGAGGAAGTAAGACATTCCCAACACAAGTATCTCCGATTACTTACTGGGAAGCCTCCGCACAAATATTGTATAAAACTTTTTGTCAATAAACAATTTTTAATTTTTAATTTTTAAAAAGTAAGACTGGTAAGACTTTGTGATTTGATTGTGTGTGATTAAATGCTATTGGAAAGTAACACACGCTTTGGTTTCACATCGCTTTGGTTAGCATATAATCATGTATCAAATCATTGTCTTACCAGTCTTACTTCCTGCTCTTCTTTCTTCCTTGTTACTTATCTGAGTTTTAAGCTATAACCTCTACCAGGTACGAATACGACGACCACTACTTCCTGACGGACCCGCGCGAGTTCATCTACGAGTTCTTCCCGCTGCAGCCGGACTGGCAGCTGCTGAAGACGCCCATCACCCTCCACGACTTCGAGGAGCTGCCCTTCGTGCGATCGCTGTTCTTCCGATACGGGCTGTACTTCAGCGACCCCAATACCAAGGCGGTCATGTACACTGACTCCACTGGTGAGTTGGACCAGTTTTTTTTTTTGGATGGACTGTGCTGATAGCCGAGAGCGGCTTTCTCAGCAATAGGTGAGCACAGATGGCTCTCAACCTCAAAATTTAAGCAACGAGCTTAAGGGCGCCTCTGAGTGGGGCTCGGACCTCGGCCTAGGGAGTTGCTGGGTGACGGTAACCTAACATAGGTTGGGGGAGAGAAACGGCCGGGCACATGCCGATACCGCGAGAAAAAGGGACGGGTCTAAGAGGAATACGGCGCGCGTCCTTGGACCAGAAGTAAAGTAGTCCCTAACACTAGCAAACGGGCCACTTTTAGTTGGTTTCTTTAGGAACCATCAGCTACAGACGACGGCAAGTTAAGCAAAACACTGTGGTAACTTGCGTGGCTATAATAGGCGCAATTTTGCAACAAAAAAATATATTTCCTGATGTGCGCCCGTGTAGCGTGAAGCTACACGACTTCGAAGAGCTGCCCTTCGTGCGATCGCTGTTCTTCCGATACGGGCTATACTTTAGCGACCCCAATACTAAGGCGGTTATATACACAGACTCCACTGGTGAGTCAAGTTGTCCCCAAGTTTCCAACACTAGCAAGGCAGCCACTTTTAGTATGTTTCTTTGGAAACCATCAGCTACACACGACGGTATGTACACTGACTCCACTGGTGAGTTGCAATGGCTTGGACTTGAACCTAGAGCGTTTACCTCACTTTGGTTAGGATCAGGTCAGCAGGCGCGAGAGCGTCTGGGGCACGGGCCCCATTCGTCCTGGCTATTCCCGTTAGCTCCCCCATAAAGTGGGATTTTTGGTCCGAAGCGACTGCTGCCGTTACCTATAGGGCGAGGAAACTGCGGAAGACGTCTTGGTCGGGACCCAAGACACCATTCAACGATAGTGGGAGCACCCCTGGTTTTATTGGAATCGACTCCTACAAAACGTCATTGAACCACAAAAAGTAATGGGAGAAATATAAAATTCCAACAACTTGAACATCATTTGGCTGATAGTTCTTTTATGACTTTCTTGTACAAACGTGAGCAAAATGTGTCTAAACATCATTAGGCTGATAGTTCTTTTATGACTTTCGTGTGTCTATCGAAAGTAAAACGCGCATATTCTGTTGCAGGTGCGGCGACTATGCGCATAGCCATGCCAGCACACATGCAGAGCTCGCTGATCTTCCACTACAACCTCAAGTTCTACGACACAGAGGGCGATGGTTTCGACGGCGTCAGTTTAAAGAGATTTGTAATGCAGGTAAAAAAACTATGACGATTTTTCATTTAATAGCCTTTGATTTGGATCTCAATTGGTACTTAGATGTTCAATTCACTTTACTGTCTCAAAATAAGAATATTTTTCAAACGTAACTTATCGCCAAAAGAGTTTGTTAGCAGTTCCCTTTGCCACCAAGAGATGGTGCTGCCTGTGCTTTAGTTCGCAATAGGTGAAATGATCTAAAAATTTACTCATCTCTGAATTTCTTGCCGGATAGGGCTACGCTCATTGTAAAAAACGTCTTATCACTCACTAGAGGCTACAACAATGTCACCAACTGGTGAGCACTGATGCGGTAAGAAAACTGCAGCATTTGCACTCACTAGTAGCTAAGAAGACAGCTAAGACAGCAAATCCTATAATCCTCATACCGCTGCACCACTCACGCTAGTACCACACCATCTTAGCTGTGGTCTTGACCAGTCTGTAGAGTAAGGTCCTGTCACTCACAGTGCCACTTCTTCTTCTTATCGTGTCGACAACAAACCTACACAGTGTCATCCCAAAACTCCGCTACAAGAGTGGCTTTATCGACAGCATTCACGCAGGAGCGTGCAGTTGCTCGGGCATTCAGGGCACGACATCATGTGCTTCATCGACTGCGGAACAAAACAGTGGCTCTTAATACCCTCATTTCCTTACATTCCAGTCAGTGGTGGGCAACGTGGTGTCGTTCCGGGTGCACGCGCCCTGCAGCGGCGCCTTCTTACTAGACATCTTCGCCAACGCCGTCACGCCGCGAGAATACCTCACCGGCGAGCCCATGAAGTTCAAGAGCGTTTGCAAGTTCAAGGTACTGACGCCACTTTAGATTTACTAATATCTTCACAGGGAGAAAGTACCCCACTTAGGTTTGCATTCATCTAATAACTTAACCTTGTCGACGAGAGAACGAGAATTTGGGAAACCTTGTTGATTAGCCACATTACGATCTTTTTTCTGTTTGGTGATTGATTATTTTGGTATATTATGATTATTATCATTGATAAACACATTTTATCTCATATTATCCCAAAAATACGCTGACCACGAGGACTTGTCAGTCCTGATATTTGTACCTTCTCTAAACTCTTTACTGTACCCATACTGTACCTAAACGAATTTATGTAAGTATACCGAAGATCGGACTTTTCCTGAAACTGTCAATCATCACGTTTTGACTATACTTTCCACAATCACCTACTACTTCATCTTCAATCATAGCAGAAGCCACTTTTGACAGACGCATTTGGTCATGACGGAATGTCTTCGTCTTCTACCAACGCTGACTCCTGTACACACGGCCACACTGTTAACTATCTATTTCCGATTTTGCTCTCGCTCTCATCAAATGGTGATTCTTTGCGATAGAACGAGATGACATGACTGGCAATGGGCAGTTAACACTGTTGCCGATAGTACCTACCCTGTACTGATCACGTTAACCCTCAGATTTGCTGCGCCGAGCTCCAGACGGTTATGGTGCCTCTGCCGGACTGCGCGAGCGGCGAATGGGGCCCGACCAAAGCCACCCGCCTGTTCGGGCTTGTACCTATCACTCATCAGGTACGTTGTTGAAGGTTACATTTAATAGTAATCTGAGAGCTCTTTCCAGACCATCTGTATAAGTAAAAAACAGCAGGAGCCAGTTTAATTTAATAGAAGTATTCTAACTAGTAGTTGTGCTAGTAGCTTCCTGCACCTGCAAACACACAAGTCCAGTTTTGTGAGATCCCGCAACAGTAATTCTGTTCTGAAGAAAGTCCCTAGTATACAGGGTGTTAGGTAAATGGGTATATGAGCCGACACTAGCCCATGTTAACATGGCCATATAAATGGTATAGTGAAGTCAGAAATTTGATATCATGATTTTATTTTTTTAAATTTTCATACAAAATAAATTTTATATAATCCGATTTGTATGAATATTCAAATAATTTAAATGAAGATATCAATTTTCTGACTTCACCATACCATTTATATGGCCATGTTAACATGGGCTAGTGTCGGCTCATATACCCATTTACCTAACACCCTGTAGAACTCCTAAGTACATGATGAAACGACACTCGAAACTCGATTCAAACCTAAGATTGCTTCCAACACTGAAGTTCAACAATTCAGACTTGATCAATTTGAATCTATGTCTGAGTTTGAACCTGGTTTTTGAGCTCCGTTTCGAAATGGATTAATTGATTTTTCCCACAAAAATATAATGTCGTAAAAAGAAACTGAAATTTACAACCACTTTAACTTGAACCCCGCAGGAGGCGCTGGTCTTTGCCGGGCGCGAACTAGAGATCCAGTTCCGAATGTCGCGCCCGCTGGCCGACTTTATGGCGACGCTGCACAAAAACGGCGTCGATGAGAAGCGGCTGTCGAAATACGTGCAGCAGAACGTGTCGGATGATATAGTGTCGTTCTACATCACTTTCCCTGAAGAAGGTACGTGTCTTTTTGACGTTTTTCTATTTCATGTTCTGCCTTAGGGTACATTAGAGATAGTATTGCCCCTGCAGTGGAGACTAAATGATGATGGCCTTAGGGCTCTTTAAAATTAGACGATATGAGTAAGACGGCAGTCGTCCGTGAAATCTACGATACATCGCCATGTGCAACGACGTCGTCGATAAAGTGCAACGTGAATTGTTTTGACGTTTTGTCCCATTACCCATAGTGCTCCTCGAGTTGGGATTTGATTGACCTCAATCGATCGTATATTGCCTATGAACATTAGACTTACGAGAGCACCGTCAGTTTTTATGATACACGACACGACACGACGAGTCGAGAGTCGAGACACGTTGCGATATATATCGTAGATTACCACGATCGCGTCGTGAAACAATGCCGCGTATGATTGTGTGTTTAAAAACTTTCAATACTGCACCAGTATTTATTATGCAACACATAACCTTATTTCAATACACCTAACGTTAATTTCTCTATACAGGTCAATACGGGCTAGACATCTACACTCGCGAGCGCGGCGGACCCACCGCAATCCACCAGAACGGTTCCACGGAGAAAGAGAAGCACCTCCTCACACACTGCTGCAAGTATCTCATCAACAGCAGCAAGAGGAATTGAACCTTAACACCTTCTGATGAACGCCAAATTGGGATACACTAAAATGCCCACTGCTGCAAACACCTCATCAACAGCAGTAAGAGAAATTGAACCTTAATACCTTCCAATGACCGCCAAATTGGGATGCACTAAAAATTGTAGGAGAATAGAGCTCACGTGACGATAAGTGGATAAGGAATCTCGATGAATTGATATTGATATGCCACGGAATCGATTATTTTAAACTAGTGTCACTGCCGATTAAAATTAATAGGCCAACCGTATGAGAAAAAAAGTTAAAGTTGGAAAAGATGACGTGTTTAAAGAATCTTTTAAAGAAACTAGCCGTCTTCTGGCTTCATCATCAGACCAGACACGATTATATTGCAATGTTATCGAACTTCCAGCTCAATGAAACTTCGAGGAGTAGGTCAAACTCAACTTGAAAGATCACCGAGATACCGCTAAGTTACTTATTATAGCATCTCCAGAATTTCTAATCTTTACAAACTAAGTACTAAAAGATTGAAGACGCGATACAATGGTGCGATTGTTACATACAATTCGAATTACAATCGATATTATTCGATAGCGTATCGATAACATATACTTTTATTACGAATTAATAAGCTCAAATGTTACGAATACGAAGCTACAACGCATAAACGTTTTGATCGTTCATTCCATTCGAATAACGAATAATCGTTAGTCGATATTTACTTGGTTATCGATTCAATCGATTGTTTTCTCTGGAACAATCGCCCATTGCTAGATTAGAGTAAAAAAGAGAGTATAGTTGTTGAATGACTCGGTGGGTTGTACTTTTATTAAATTACTATATTTATAATGGATTTTTACCCAAATGTAGATAATGAAACCTTACTCTATGTAGGCTAAAATTAAATAAAATCCGTCCAATGTAAGGTAAATAACTGTACGTTTTTTTTATATACCCGATGTACGTAATTATATTGATATACGTTATGTTCAGGTATATTATTGTTGTTGTCCACTTATAAGTAATGTCCACTTTATAAGTTAAATCCACAAAACGTACGTCAGAAGGTTGGAACAGTAAAACATGTGATTTCTTTAAAGGTGTAATTGCGACTAAAATAAAACTGGCGGGCTCAGCCGCCGACACATACAAGGAACAGTATAACTATTGTTTCCTATTGTTAATTGTATTGGGCAATGATGTGGGAACGCAGGGCGCTACTCAATACTCTCTGTTCATTCATGAAGTTAATTTATTACTCTGATTAATGTGTACCTACATCATCCCCCTCCTTATACAAAAAATAAAACACAATAACGCTTGATTGAGTAAATAACAAAATAATGAATATTTGAAACAACATTATAAAACAAAATTCTATGTCAATTAAAAATATCTAGAGACATAATACGCTCAATCAAATTGTACACTTGGTCCATTGCGAAAATACAAGCAATGCGCAAGTTTAAGTAAAAAGTAAAAACATAAGAAAAGGTTGTATGTGTCTATCATTATATAATATAAAAATGTCAATTACCAATTACTAAACATCAATAAACATCTCAGAAACACAATAACAAAAATGTTTTGCCAAACAAAATACAATAAATCAATTTGAATAAAGAGTAAAGTAAAATCAGCGACTTCCACTTGCAGTCGGTTAATCATTTCCGATAATTCGTGAATGCTTCCCGGCGTGGAGGTTTTCATTTCGGCTATTTCTGTATATTCTGGCCTGGTTGCCTCCATAACCTTGTCCGCCACCGTTGCCAAGCTCTCCAAGTCCTTGACCTCGGTGACAGCAAGAACAGCCTGAACTGCCGACGGCAAGTGTCTGGTCCACATTATTTGTAGCGTGGAGTCTGGTAGTTTGTTTCTAGCCAAGTCTCTCATCCGACGGAGAAGTTGCGATGGCTTTTGGGTGCCCAGTTCCATTTCCCCCAAAAGCTTTTGAAATTGCCGCGTCTCAGACTCTTCAAACACTTGTAACAGACGGTCCTTCAATGTCTGATATCGTCTTTCTTGTGGTGGTGACAGCAGCAGGTCGCTGACTTGTTGTATGGCAGATTTGCTGAGTTTGGTAACGACTAAGTTTTGTTTTGTTACATCTCCTAGTCGTTGCGATTCTACTACGGCCTCAAATTGGACAAACCAGAGTCGCGGTTGGTCTGACCAAAAATCAGGTATCCTTGACGAAACACTTATACTCGCCAAAGTCTCCGTCTCCGTCGACGCCTGTGCGGGCGGTGCCGCTAAAGAAGGCGCCGGCGTATTAGGCGCGGCGTAAATAGGTGCGGGTCCGTCTTGAGGATTCATATTCAAAACTTGCACTGTCCCAAACGTAAAAAAAATTGTTCAACTGGCGTCACCAATGTACGTATTTATACACTGTATACCTAATTATCACGTCGGGCGTATTCATACACTGTATACGTAATGATCACGTCGGGCGTATTGATACACTGTATACGTAATGATCACGTCGGGCGTATTGATACACTGTATACGTAATGATCACGTCGGGCGTCACCAATGTACGTTTTTTTTATATACCCGATGTACGTAATTATATTGATATACGTTATGTTCAGGTATATTATTGTTGTTGTCCACTTATAAGTAATGTCCACTTTATAAGTTAAATCCACAAAACGTACGTCAGAAGGTTGGAACAGTAAAACATGTGATTTCTTTAAAGGTGTAATTGCGACTAAAATAAAACTGGCGGGCTCAGCCGCCGACACATACAAGGAACAGTATAACTATTGTTTCCTATTGTTAATTGTATTGGGCAATGATGTGGGAACGCAGGGCGCTACTCAATACTCTCTGTTCATTCATGAAGTTAATTTATTACTCTGATTAATGTGTACCTACAATAACAACCTTTATTTTATATTTTAAACTTATAGCTACATTCTATGTCATTTGTATATGGAAATAGATGAGAGAAGAAAACATTGGTGAAATTCTTGAGAGTGGTTGTGCTGAAGCAATGAAATTGCTTTTATATATACATTTAAATTAAATTAATTAGATATACTTGTTTTTGTATAAACTTTATAAGATATATTATTATATTGTGGTATTTTTGGATATGATTTATTTTATACAATCGCAGTGTTCATAGAAATATCAGAGATATTTACTCATACGCTTAAAATAATGGATACATACAAAATAGATTGCTCTATTTTATTATTCTACAGTTTAATTTGTTGCACGCACAAAATGAAATACAGCAATTTATGACTTTTAGTATAGATAACAATAATATAATTATTACTTACGTCTAATTACTCTAATTTATAACGTATTATGTTTAATAAACGCGGCAATATAATTATGTAAATTTTTATAAAATATATGGCATGTTATTTTTCTAAAACCACATTTTTTTTACAAAATATCAGATCCAATTCATTCCCCAAATGATTACTACTTACGATACTTAGGGCCAGTTTCACTACTTGCTGATAAGTCGCTGATAGCCTATTGGGTATTTCTCTGTCAGATAAACTACAACTTTTGGTTGCACAGGTCTCAGAAAGATATCTGACAGAAAGTGTTAGATAATCTGAGACTATATCAGGAACCGGTCAAACTGACCCTTCTTATTTTTATAAAGAGAGTCTTCAATACATTGATAAAGCACCAAATTCAGTGGGACGGCACATTTTCTATCCTACAACACTAACCAAAAACTTCTATTATTTACTACTAGACAAGATAATATGACACAACGTGTCGACAATCTTTTTATATCAGTAACTCATTTAGTCGATAAAAGGTGACCGAGTTTCTTCCGCCACTTCTTCTCAGCACCAGCGCCACCAGCCCATATTATGTTGTACCAAAGTAGTGGTAGGGCAAGCCATATTTGGGACGTGTATAAGTGCCCTAGTAAGGGCCTATGTACTGAATAAACTATTTGAATTTGAATTTGATTATGAGCAAGCGACAAGAACAGATTTACCGACCGCCCATACTACAACCCGGCCGAGTTAACTGCGTGGTGCTACCTGGTGGCTGTGACGTCACATCTACGCTCTGGTACGGACGGGGAGAACGCGAGGTGTGCGGGTAAGTGGGAGGGAGTCGCATTCCAGCGAGGTACGTAGTTAGCTTGACCGGGTTATAAATATTAACAAAAACGTCGTTAAAACAACAACATGGCAATGAGGGTTTTAGCGAATGAAAGATCCGCTAGATGGCGGGACGTGGATGTGGGGTCTGACTGCTGCGTGATTGGTGGATTTTGACATATCTGTCAATGTCATGTCAAAAATAACCAATCATGCAGCAATTGGACCTCGCGTCTACGTATTGCCATCTGGCGGATTTTTCATTCGCGAAAACCCTCATTCTTTTAAATACGTTATTTGAAACTACTTAAGCTGTCTATCTTAAGCTTAACTCTTAAGCTGTGATACTAAGCTTGTCTAGTAGAAGCATTTGATACTAACTATACACACAAAAAATAACACAGTCAAAACAAAATACAAACCACAAGACCGCCACACAAAGTGACTTCGCCCTTATTATTAAGTCATTAATGACCGTTTTCACCATCAATCCTTAATTTTTAAGTAACCCCTATGGTAACACATAACAGGAATTTTATAGGGGTCACTTAAAAATTAGGGATTATTGGTGAAAACGGGCATAGGTCCCTGTTTAGGTCCTGTTACTTTTTCTTAGTCTACTGAGATTCCCAAACAGAAAATAATTATCCTTATTTACCTATTATTTGAGCAATTTAAAATTCCATGGCTTCATAAGACGTCTTTACTGTATTTCATATCTTATACATATTGTTTAGAGTACAGTACAATTTTCAACATTTTAGGAATCAATCCTTAGTGTACGTCAATCGTGGGTATACCACATAAGATACATAGCTGTCTGCGTTTACGCAGCCTTTATGCTCTACTGTGTATAGATTGTTTCATCCATGAAACGCGCCCCACCATTTTTCCGCTAATGTTTGAGTGTTATCGGTACACGCTAAATGATCCATGAGTGCACACGCACACTACAATAATGTCGCTCGGATTGCTCGGAAAAAAATTGGTGGGGCGCGTCTTCGTGGATGAAACGATCTATATTGATTATTATGAAGATTAAGTGTCTACATTTGCGCAGCCTCTAAGCACTACTGCTAGCCTAGAATGCGCGTCATTATACTAGACACTAGTTTTTTCGAGGCATTATATAGATTTTAGTCGATAAGCTAACATTGTCTAAAAAAATCGATAACATTTTATCATGGCGCACATCCAAAGCCAGCTGTGTGCTTACCACGAGTTTACGTTAGGCGTGCTCGCAACTGCGTAAAAAAATTACATTAAATTTAACACAAATTGTACACCGCTCCTAGCGGCAACTTTCAAGAACTAAAAACTTCATAGATTTTTTTGACGCACTTGCTAACGAGCACAACTAACAACGGACTCATGGGGGCGTAGTGTAAGTTTACGTCAAACGCATTCGAAATCGTTTGCGAAAAAAATTGACATTAAATGTATGACGGGTTGTACAGCGCCCCTAGCGGAAACTTATAAGAACTAAAAACTTCATATATTTTTTAACGCAGTAGATATCGAATGCATTTGACGTAACTCACACTACGCCCCCTGAGGGCTTAGTGTGTATTTACATCAAACGTCGTCACTAGTAAGTGTCCTGGAGTTAGTTTAGTTAGTTCTTAAAAGTATCCAGCTAAGGGCACTGTACAATTTGTCATACATTTAATGTAATTTTTTTCGCGCTCACTAGTGACGACGTTTACGTAAACTCACACTACGCCCCATGGTAAGCACACTTCGTGATAACGTGGCGTTTACACAGGTACCTCTTAGTTCTTTTCTACACGAGTCCCTTGGTGGCGTTGAGCGTGGCTCGTTGCTCCACGCCGCGTATTAATGTACCCAGAAGGCCTTCCATCTCAGTGGCTGTCTCACGTAGCGCTGTGTTGTCGAAGCAAGAGTCTGGAAAAAAGGTTAATAAATTAAAGATCTAGGACAAAAATAGGGCACACATTATGTTAGGTTGCGGTTCGTAATGACTGACACACAACGGTTACCAATAAAGAATGAGCATGGCATTATTTCATCAGCATTGACATCATCAAATCATCCCAGGTTTTGTTCCAATTTTATTAGAAATACTTAAACAGAATGTTTGAAATCTCGTTTGTCTTCTTAACACGGTAAAGAACTAAATGCCCGTTTTCACCATCAACCCTTATTTTTTAAGTGACCTCTATACATAACAGGAATTTTGTTTCCATATGGGTCACCTAAAATTAGGGATTGATGGTAAAAACGGGCATAAGTCACGTACCGTGGCGTCCGATCACAAACAAAGTTGGAGCTCTTAAAAAATTTACCGTTTTCCGACCTTTATCCACATCTTTTGTGGCTAACCGCAAACCACGGAAGTCTAGAATAAGATTTCAATATGTGTTTGATGATTATGATGATTTTTTTTGCTTATTAGGAGCCTGAAGGCACTCACCGTCCATAGCGAAGTTGTTAGTGAGTATTTGCTGGAGGCGGTCCAGAACAGTATCCAGGTCAGCATTAAGTTCCTTCATCTTGTCGTTGCTGGACGCCACGCTGCGGATATCTGCTGCGTACTTCTGCTCCGTAGCTGAGATCGACTGGTTGTTGTCTAATCTTGCTGCTTGTGACTTCATTACTGACTCTTGTTCTGTGAATTAATTTAAAGTAAATTCATAAAAGGTCCAAAAGGAACAAGTTATTATCCGATTCACGCAGCAGCGACAGGTGACGTGTCGCTTTAAGGCTTGGTATTTCTTCTAAAGTAGGTATTTCGCGCTGTCAAAATCTGCGCGCGCAATTCTTCGCCGAAAACAGCGCGTCAAAGAGCTCCCGCCACAATTTCCAGCTACACAGTATAGAAATACGCAGTTGGTTAGGTTAGGTTGACTTCCTTCCCTTCAAGCGTCACACTCACAACACTTTCTAATAGAAATCATATCCAAGTGACACAAATTAAAACACCTTTCAGACTTTTTGGGAATATATTCTAGAATCGAATAAATATAAAATATAACTGCAGAAGTAAACACGGTTCAAAGTGGCCGTGGCGTCGCCCGACCTTCTGGAAGTTCTGCGCCGGCTTAAGAATTTCAAGATTACGTCGAGCGATTGGAATTTTTTTTTATGATAAGTTACTCTTAGTAGCGATTATTTAGAGCTTGGATAATAAATTTAATTATAGTTGTTGCAATTCACGAAGCTTTGCATGTGGTTAATAACATTAATCAGTATAGGTACGCATCAATTTTGTTCAGTCTCTTTGTTTATTAATAAATAAAAATATCATACTAAAATTGCAGAAACATATTTGTTTGTATTGGTCTGGGTGTTTTCTTTCTATAATATGTATGACGTATGTACGGGGTTCTGTACCTATCGAAAATTGCTATAAGCATCACACGCGGTTACCTGCGTACCTCTGTGCACTCATGGGAGTTTAAGCAGAGGTCCCTAGAGTTTGACTTTGAGCTTTGTTTATAGTCATTACGAAGCAGACTGATGGGAAACTGCACTGTCTTGAATTCGAAAGGGTAATTTGACGGTGTTTGGGGAATTCTAGGAATAAATACAGAGTCTCCTCATTGAGATTGAGACATTTCAATTTGAGATTTCACTTGACATTGAACACAATCTGAAATGGAGTTTTCAAACACTTGTAAAAATAAAAAGTAATTAAATCAAAGGCACTAAGTAGTATTGATATCAACTTCGAAGAAAATGACTGCCAAAATTACTTTCTACCCGTTCCACACGTCTTTCATGAATTATATTAAGGTATTGTTAAACTAAATTTCAAGTAGATTGAACCAAGGAATCACTTTGTCCCATACAAACTTTGCCCCCTTTTTTCACCCCCTTCATTTCATGACCCCATTTCGGAAAATCTTTTCTTATGAGATGCCTACGTCATAAAAAGAACACACCTTCCAACTTTCAGGTCTCTACGATATCCGTCAGTCATTTAGGACAAAGCATTTTTATTAGTTGTTCAAAACTCTATCGTTCCAGGTATGTCATTGACAGGAGGGCGCTACTATCTTAATGGGTTATTCATTAGTCCACTTGACATTTCAGAATCGTTTGACTTTAGATACCTAAGCGATTTGATATTCGGAGTCTTTTAATGAAATCAAGTTCTGAAATAACTTGAGGTGTTGTACCCGATCAAGCTTTTCATTGCAGGACAGTTAAATAGTTTTATTATTAGTTTCTTCTCTAAGTCTTAATTTGTCAGAGTAGGTAAAGGCTCCATGAGAGCAAAATTTAGCTTTATAATAGTTTTTAATTTTTTTCTTGAAATATTTGACGCCTTGTAATCTCTTGTAATCTCTCGTTAATATAGGTCCACACAAATAAAGAATGTTTGACTTCGACTTTAATAATTATGCTCTTACATAATTATAAATAAACTAGCTTTCCGCCCGCCGCTTCGCCCGCGTGGAATTTTTTGGTTTTTATATAACCTATTACACTCAGATATAATGTGGCTTTCTATTGGTGAAAGATTTTTTAAAATCAGTTCAGTAGATCCCGAGATTACCCCTTACAATTTAACAAATATACAAACACACAAACTTTACCTCTTTATAATATTAGATTATAGATAGTTAATTTGAAACCACAGATATGGATAGATGCAGCATGTGTCAAAAATTGTATGAAGCCGAGCGTGCCACTTTTTAAACGTCATTAGTGTCATTTTAGCGAATTTTAGTGATTGCCGCAACGTAAAAGTAATCGTATCATCGTACTGCATTCGCAAAGTCATCGAATGATATCGTGTGACTCGATTCAAAAATTAATTAATTCCGATAAAACTGATATTTTGTTAAATTTATAGCTAGTCTGACTGTGGATTAAAATAATTATGTAGCGGTAGACGTTATTCTACAATTCTACATTATTAATTTGCAAATAATATTTTTGTTGTGCCTAATGTTTATGAAAGTAATGATCGTTATTCCATTATGTTAAATAGTACTACTAGTAATTCATACTTAATTCCATACTTTTAAATATCCTAGTAAGTAAATGACCTAGTTTCATAAAATAAAGACTATTTTACTCAAGCTTATAATAAATGTAAAAATGTGTAGTTTTGCCAATACGTTTTCTTTCATAAAGCTAAGTCAGGAAGAAGATGTTTCTAAACGACAAAATCTCGGGCGTCGTATACATAGACTAGTAATAGTGTATACAGCGATCACTGACCTCTTGACTTCTTGATTTGTATATTTCGACGTTATACAGTGCACTCTGTCTTCCGCGATCACTGATCTAACTTGTTTTGTAATTCTTCTACTGCTACTTTATTCTAATTAATTACATATTTGTTACTAGTTGCTGTTAATTACAATTGTCAATCCGTATATAATTTCTTCTCTCTACCGTGTTCGTACTACTGTCCTCGTAAAATCATCGTATCCGATTGTTGTAATCGGATTACATGAACATCACTCGACCATGTATGTCCATTTGGACATATCGGAATGGCACGCTTTGACTAGCAACTTGCTATATCTACTCTAATCCATATCTGTGTTTGAAACCCTATTTTGTTTTATTCTTTTTTTTATTTTAAATATTTCACGATCCAAACTAATATTTACTGTAAGTAAATGCTAAATAGTAAATATTAGTTTGGCTTGTGAAATATCCTACTAATATTATAAAGGCGAAAGTTTGGATGTCTGGATGTCATGATGTCTGGATGTTTGTTACTCTTTCACGCAAAAACTACTGAACGGATTTTGTTGAAACTTTACAGTATTATTGTTTATAACCCAGATTAACATTATGACGATATGTGGCAAATAAATTTCANCTGTCGCTTCTAGTAGCGGCGCGTAAACCTAACAATACAACTGGTAGTTCGTCTACCCAAGAACTGTTGCGTTGTAAGCGTGCCATCAAAGCCACTTTAAGTGCTCTATGCCACCGCTCAATCATGCCGTTACTTTGAGGGTGATAAGGTGTCGTGCGCAATTTGTGTATTCCCAAATATTTCATTAACTGTCTAAAAAGATCACTTTCAAATTGTCTACCCTGGTCGCTGGTAAGCTTTGAAGGGCATCCAAAACGAGATATCCAACCCTCAAACACTATTCTAGCGATAGTCTCCGCTGTAATGTTTTGAACAGGAAATGCTTCAGGCCATCCGGTACATCGGTCTATCATCGTTACACAGAATCTATAACCGTCAGCCGAAATTGGTAAAGGCCCTACTATATCTATGTGTAAATGCTGGAAACGATCAGGTCGCCCAAACTGTCCTACATCAGATACAGTATGTCTCGTAATTTTGATTGCCCTCAGCCGGCGCAAAAGCCGAAGCCGGCGCAGCGAGCCGGCACGACGGCGAGCCTCATGGAGGTAGACGCGGGGGCGTCTGCCTCCTAACATTGAGGCCCGAAGTGCGCGCGGAGTCCCCGCGCGCTTCGGAGAGAGTTGCCCTTCTAAGGGCGACAGTTTGAGTGAGGCTGCGGCCAAAGCGTGGGGGTACGCACGTGAACGACTTAACGGCGCCTTACGTGCTACTCCACTAAGCGCCACCCGAGGGACCCGTCAGGTTTTTAGTGGGTAGGCCCTGCCCTTCTGGCAGGGAGAGCCCCACATAACCCACCGGAACCCCCGGACCGGTGGGTATGCATTTCAATACATTTTCCTGACGCAAAAAAAAAAAAAAA